CCCTCCCCTCCGACGACTCCGCCGCCCCCGCCGACGACCACTCCGCGCCCTTCCGCGTCGGCCCGCCCGCCAAGGTGCTCGTGCCGCCCAAGGCCGAGCTCTACACCGTGCGCCTCCCCGAGGGCATCACCACCGAGGAGGTGGACATCGTCAAGCTCACGGCGCAGTTCGTCGCCCGCAATGGCAAGACCTTCCTCGCCAGCCTCGCGTCCAGGGAGAGCACCAACCCGCAGTTCAACTTCCTCCGCCCCACCCACAGCATGTTCCCCTTCTTCACCGCGCTCGCCGACATCTACTCGAGGGTGATGCGGCCCGACGAGGGCGTGGCTGCCCTCATGAGGGAGCTCAAGGAGGGGACCAAGGACCTCACCACCGTGCTGGAGCGCTGCCTCAACCGGCTCGAGTGGGATCGGTCGCAGGAGCAGGCCAAGCAGCAGGCGGAGGATGAGGTCGAGATGGAGAGGATGCAGATGTCCATGATTGATTGGCATGATTTCGTCGTTGTCGAGACTATTGAGTTTGCAGATGATGAGTTCGAGGGCCTCCCTGTGCCGCCTACGCTGGAAGAGCTGAAGCGCCGCAAGAGGATGGAGACCTTGGGAGAGGAGGAACCCATGGAATTGGCTGAACCAGCCAAGGATGTTGAGATGGACATGGATGAGGAGGAGATGCAGCTTGTCGAGGAAGGAATGAAGGCAGCAAGGCTCGATGAGAACGATGGAGGAGCACAGGTTAAGGTGGCCGGTAATGATGATGAGCCGCCTATGAGAATTGTCAAAAACTACAAGAGGCCCGAGGAGAGGATCCCTGCGGAGAGGGACCCGACCAAGGTTGTTGTCTCACCAATAACCGGGGAGCTCATTCCGATCAGCGAGATGGAGGAACACATGCGCATCTCGCTCATTGACCCCAAGTACAAGGAACAGAAAGAAAGAATGCTGGCCAAGATTAAGGAAACCACGCTTGCTCCTGATGATGAGATCTCCCGTAACATTATTGGTCTTGCACGTACCAGGCCAGATATTTTTGGAACCACCGAGGAAGAGGTTTCTAATGCCGTCAAGGCAGAAATTGAAAAGAAAAAGGATGAGCAGCCAAATCAGGTTATTTGGGATGGTCATTCTGGGAGCATCGGTTGGACAGCCACTCAGGCAATGTCTGTTGGTGGAGAAGAACAGGGTGATGCCTCAAATGCTCCTGGTCCAGCTCCACTTCCTCGGCCTGGCATGCCGTTGCCCCGGCCTCCCCAACCACTTTCCTTGGTCAATGTTCCCCGATTTACACCCAATCCAATGCCTTATCATGTCCAACCCCCTCATCATATGCAAGGAGTTCCACCACATATGATGCCCAACATGCACCAACCTCTGCCACCAGGTCAACAACACATGATTAGGATGTCAGGTCCCATGGGTCATATGCCAAGTAATATCCCTCCACCGCCTCCAGGCCATAATACTCAGTTCATGCCTGGTCCACCACGGTTCGCTATGCCCCCTCCCCCGCACATGCAGAACATGCCAGCCATGGTCAACCCCATCGGAATCCCCCAGCCTCCACCACCTTTGCCTCCACAACCACCTGCCGAGGAGCAGCCACCTCTACCTGAGGAACCAGAACCTAAGAGGCAGAGAACAGATGATGCTTCTCTGATCCCAGCTGAGCAGTTCCTCGCTCAGCATCCGGTAATGTCTCTTTTCATATACTTCCACTCTAATTACCTACTTATCTTTCTTATTATTCTGTGCTGTCATGCTAATTTATTTGTTCCTCCTGCAGGGCCCTGCTCGCATCTCAGTTTCTGTGCCCAACCTTGATGAAGGAAACTTGCGAGGCCAAGTTTTGGAGATCTCTGTCCAATCACTCTCAGACACAGTTGGCAGTCTGAAGGAGCAAATTGCTGGAGAGCTGCAGCTTCCTGCTAACAAGCAGAAGCTGAGTGTGAGGACTAGTTTCCTCAAGGACAATCTTTCTCTTGCTTATTACAATGTTGGCCCTGGGGTGGTCATCAATCTAGCTCTGAGGGAGCGTGGTGGGAGAAAGAAATGAGCTTTTCTTATCTCAGTTTACTCGCAGGACAATGCTTACAACCAAGCTTCAGTGGCTATCATGGAGATTATTTTTGTTGGTTGCTGCCTTCTGGATTCTTGTATCATGTGTTCTATAAGTCCAGCACTATGATTTGCACTATGTAGTTTTCGGACTTGTCTATGTTTCTTAATATGGCTACATATTGTTGGAGATGTTTATCCTTTTTATTACTTTTGTGTTACTCAAGAAAGCTAACGATGCCTACCTGCCTACTTGATAGTGCTCCAGAGTTCAGGTGCCCGCATTGGCTCTACCGTTTGCCTTCTAAGGTGTTCTTGATATCTTGAAAATGCACAATGCTTTTCCCCATGTTGGAATGTTCTGGGATGTTCTCTTATATGTATCTTCTGTGGTATTGTAGATGCTTCTGCACTGCATCAGTAAAGGTAATGTCTCTTCAAGTGCTTATTATGAAAGGTCTGTGGAAAGCCTATTATTGCAGTTCTTATTGAATTAGAGTTATGGGTGATGGCTGATGTTCTAAATCTTGTTGACAGAATAGCATGGCATCTATCAGAGATCACTGCTGCTGGAATCTTGTAACAAGTATAGTAGTACATTGCTTATTGTGAACTTAATTATGCATGCAGTGAGCAGGGATGAGTATGTTGCTGGCAGTCATAAGTTGATTCCTGTAGGTTATGCATTTAATTTCATGTTTATTGTGATGTTTTCATCCTAAGCAACTAAAAAATCGTGATATTATACCGCATAGTGTTTGGTCAACATACACATATAGTTGATTGAGTTATGATAAATTAACCAACTTGTTCCAGTGTCCATAGTAAATGAATGGAGTAGGCACAAATCACTGCATCAAATCTTTCCTACTTATAAATATATCTGAGTTGGTGGTTGTCCGTTCACCTATTATCCATCCTCTTCTAAAATTTGAATCGGACAACATTTTCATGCCAAAGCTCATTGAATCTTGAGAGCGAAGGCAGGATCTACAGACCTTGCCCCAATTTTCCTCGCATGTAATAATAGTAGTTCCTTTGTGTCCATATAAATCTATAATTGATAAATGAACGAACCAGAGTGAATATAACTTGAGTAAACTATTTGCTTTATGTTTTTTTTTTGCTTCGGTAGCGTAGCACATGCACCTTACTAGTTCAAATACAAAATGTGTTGTGAACTTGGATCATTTACCATTGTCCACAAATATTCTGATTATCTTAGTTGTCAGGATATGACTTTGATACTTGCAGGTTTTATAGTCTGAGTTGCGCTTATATCTCAAAGTGTATGATGCATTCATCATGTTTGCTCTTCTTTTTCTAGTTTAATGTATTGAGGAGAAAGATTTTCTTATAGCACATCAGCTACGTAGATTAGACGCAGCTGGATTTTGTCTTCTCCAGTTGTTAACTAAGCCGTGCTCTGGTGAGTAATAATAACCCTGTGGGCTTTATGACTGTTGAGCTTTCAGTTAAATCACCATTAGAAGGCTTTATGCCTTGCAACCTATGAGTATTCCTTTTATTCATAGTGTAGATGCTTAAAGAGAAAGAGTTGTTTACAATTCGAATATTTCACACATCAACACAGTTTCTCTGTTTCTGCCTGTTTTTTATTTCTTATAGTAGGAACTTAATATCCTTTACTTAACAGCTGTGTCCGTCGTACCCACACAAAGCCGGTGATTTTACTGAACGAGCTTAAATCACCATCTGATTTGCTTGACTTTGGTGAGTTCTCAGATTGCATGAGCTTCAGTACTCATGAAGTCATGATGACGGCACTCCTCTTCGAAATGTTGTCGATCCAACGTCTGACTACATGTTCTTTTCTGCACCCAAATTTGGGATCATGTAAGCAAAGAGCTGTGTCTGGTGCAGCTTGCTTTGAGAGTTGAGTTTGGAAGAATGTACACTGAGAGTAGCTCTGATTCACACTTGTCTTAGATTTGTCTAGATATGTATGTACTCCCTTTGTCCCATAATATAAGAACGTTTTTGACACTAGTGTAGTGATGAAAACGCTCTTATATTACGGGACGGAGGGAGTATCTAACACTAAAACTAGATACATGAAGACAAGTAATTTGGGGGGAGGTAATATAAAATTAGCAATTACGCCTTTGGTTGCAAGTCCTCTTGGCCCTGATTTGTGATGCTCTGTAGTGAGAACTAAATAAGTTAGGGCTCCTTTTGATTCAAAGGAATTGCATACCATTTTTGGAGGATTTGAACCCTTAGGAATTTTTCCTGTGATGCTTTCCTTTTCTCAGTAAAATGTCGGAGAGCCGCAACCAGGCTTGGGTGCTAGGCTCAATTGCGGCAAGGCAGATCAATCTGCATAGTTATGGCAAGTGCAAACAAGATGGTATTTAGTTTCGCCACTTGATCTTACGCCCTGTTTGGGAATCCACCACGAACATTGTGAGGATACCCTGAGCCGACGTCGAGAACTGAGACTTCTGGATTGTCCCTCGTGCTGAGACTGACCCCCTCCCCGCCCCTAACTTCTGGTATTCTCTCCCTCGACGGCCCCTCTCCCTCCAATCTGCTCTAGTCGGCGGTGAGGGTCCAAACTCAATACAATCCTATATACTTTCAGCATAAATCAATACATATCTGACCACGCAGAACTGGCAACAAAAATTCGGGATGGGGTCGAGCAAGTGTTGTGACCATCCAAACAAAGATAATGGGGCCACCCGGATGCCAATGTCCATCGACATCCAAAGGGGCCGTAAAGGATGAAAGGGACAATAACATACATAATCAATCACTCCAATGACCATTGTTGTTGTTCAATTTCACTGACACTCGGGTTAAAAAAATGTAAAGAATGGTGGTTAAAAGATGAAGAACAATATCTCATTTGAACCATGTTAATCATTATCTGAAGTAGGGCAATATAACGTCTTAAGAAACAAACAAGAGAAAACGAATTGAAAGTAAAAAAAAACATATGAAATATGATACGGTATAAACATTATCCTTCTATTACTGCATCAAGGGGGAGTACTATTCATGGAATAATTTCTTAGATGTATTGCCCTATCCCAGGTGTTGGGACCCTTTTGACGGGATTAGTGGAATCTTTATGATCAAAACCCTGAATCTGATCTGGTTTCACCTCTAAGAGCGTTTTTTTCCTGCAATTTTCTTTTTGGGTTTTTCTGCTTTTTTATTTCCATTTTGGTTTCTCCTGTCATTTTTCTTTATTTTCTTTTTAATTCATTCACAATTCAAGAATAATTTTTGAATTTCATGAACTTATTTTGACTCCCGCAAACATTTTTACCTAAATGTGGGAACATTTCTTGCATTTTGGGGATTTTTTGAACATGTTTTAAATTCGTCAACACTTTTGGAAATGTGAGACATTTCAAATTGTGTTTTTTAATGAATGAACTTTTTTTATTTCATGAACTCTTTGAAATTTATGATTTTTTGAATTCATTATCTTTTTTGAATTTTTTTTAAAAAAATTATATTTGCGATTTATTTGAATTCAAGAATATTTTTGTTATCTAGATTTTTATTGAAATCATGAACATTTTATAAAATTCGTGAAAATTTTACAAATTTCGCTACCATTGTCATTTTTTAAATCCGTGAACACTTTTTGAATTTCGAAATATTTTTAAATTCAGAAATATTTGTTTTTGAGGAAATTTTTGGAATCTATGATTTTCTAAAATATGTAGGATTTTCCACAATATGTAGGTTTTTGGAAGGATATTTTGTATAAAATTTAAAAGGTAGTAAAAACAGAAAACAAAAGGGAAAATATAAACTTAAAAGAAAATGGTGCCCGCGCCCCGTAATGGGCTGGGCCAAATCGCACAGGGGAGTGCTCGTTTGGTAGGTGTTCTCTGACCCGCGCGTCGATTAGTGGTCGAAGACGAGAGTGGCGACTTCTTCTCAAAAAGAAAACGAGAGCGGCGACCGAGTGGGCAGGGAGGCCGCCGAGCACGACGGAGACCGGAGGCTGCGCAAGTGCCTTCCTCCCCTCTTCCCCATCTCCTCCCCATCCCGCATCCCTGCTCCCGTCCCTCCTCCAAAGTATGTCTCCCAATCTCTCAATCTCCGAACATGACCGCCGTATTTTTGATAGGTTATATGAGTGTTCCGTAGTATATTTTTATTTTAAATGTTGCACCAAAGTGGACCCCTTCTTTGTAACGACACTTAAATAATTGATTGGCACAATTCTCCCACATACTACTTCTTAGTCATCAATCAAATAAGTGTTCTTTTTTGTAGGCAAAATCAAATATGGGTTCAACGTTAAATCACAAATGCATGGAAACAACATAGATGGAAGAAGCTCCTGGAGAAAAAACCGCATAGGATTCAATTGGAGGCGATCCTTTCATTGTTTCTTCCAATCATATGAACGAACTCGTTCATCCCTCTGCCTCTTTGATGTGAACAGAGCGTTGTTCCATGCATTTCTTCTTGTATCTAAAATCAGAATTTGTACTTTATGCACGCGCACATTTGTGCGTTTCCAGTCTGCCCACTGCTTCCAAACAATAAATAGGTGGATATTATTTGTATGATCATAACAGCGCCCCTTGTATAGAAGGCAGTAAACATCTAGTCATTTTTCAGGTACAGTATGGTTTTTCAGGCATAAGAGAGGATAAAGTTTCTCATCTAGTCATTTTGCTTGTGTCTAGTAGGGTTATCAGGTGAAGGCGCATCAACTTGGCTTGCCCAAGGCTGTGTCTGATACAGTAGCTTGTGTTAATTTTCTGATCGAGTTGAGCAGAGCAATTTAAGACTAGTTCATACCATGCTGTAAATTTGTTGCACAAACAAACTGATGAACCAACAAAGAAAATTAAAACTTGGGCATATGAAACAACCAAGGGCTCCGGCCAAGTATCATCATAGTCCATCCAACATTCCAGCATACTTCCACCAACATGGTTATAGACACAAGTCACCTAGCAACGGCGGCTTTAACTTGGGTGTTTTACCTACTCTAGCTTG